CTAAATGGCCCCCTCAAGGATTGAACTCGCAACCCAGGGTTTAGCAGGCTAATGCTCAAACCACTGAGATTGTGATTAATTGTCCTCCAGATCCACCGAAGGTTGGACAAGAAGTAATCAGTTTAATCTGCAGCAAGCGAGATTTAGGTTGACTATTAGGATAAACTTTCTAATTACAAGGGTAGTTAAGCATTGGAATAGGCTTCCAAGGGAGGTTGTGGCGTCCCCATCCCTGGAGGTTTTCAAGAACAGGTTGGACAAACACCTGTCAGGGATGGTCTAGGTTTACTTTTTTCTGCCTCAGGGCTAGATGACCTCTACAAGCCCTTTCCAGCCCTACATTTCTATGATGAGTTCTGTAATCAAAATTCTAGTTTCTCCCATTTCATCATAGGAAAGGCAAACCTACCAGGTCTCACTCCTTTGGAAACAACAAGCTCTCTCTCTCTTACCACATTATTTTAAGCCACTTCCTAAACATCTCCCCTTCTGCCCACAGAATCCTGATTCTGTGTGTTTCAGTGAGATTTCAAACCTAGTTTAGGGCAATTTAACCCTCCAGATTACATCCCACCAGCCCCAGTGTTTCACTGACGAGCTCTAAACCACTAGCACAGTGGGTCTCAAACTTTTGTACTGGTGGTGACCCCTTTCACATAGCAAGCCTTTGAGTGCAACTCCCTCTAATAAATAAATAAAAACAAAACCACTTTTTTGGATATTTAACACCATTATAAATGCTGGAGGCAAAGCGGGGTTTGGGGTGGAGGCTGACAGACCCCCATGTAATAAGCTCGTGACCCCCTGAGAGCCCCTGCACAAGCAGCACCCGGGGGACTGAGGCTGTTGTCAAGGGGCACTGGCGGACGCGGTCTCTTTCCAGCTGAGGGGATTTTGCTCCCTTCTCCCGATTTGCTTTGTAAACGAACATGCCCAGCCCCTAAACGGGAGCGAGAAGGGCCGGGGGCTCCCACAGAGGCCGTGCATGGGAAGGGGCAGAAGGAAAGGGGAGGGGATGCAGTGACCCCTCCTGTGCTGACCTGGGGGAGGGGGGATCCTTTTTTCGTCCCTTGCCCCGGCCCGCCGCCGTGCACCCTCCGCCTCGGTGCGTCGGGTACGGGCCGCCTCCTCTGGATAATGTTTCCAACCGGTGGGGTTTGGGTGGTGCACGGCGGGCGGGAACCGAGAAGCCCCGGAGGTGCAGGAGCGGCTCCCAGCGCTGCCATCATGCCGTAGGTAGCGGGCAGGGCAGGGCAGGGCAGCCGGCCCGGGGGTATTGGTGGTGAGAAGGGGGCAGGTGTTGGGGGCAACGGGGTAGAGTTGGGGGGCAGGCGCTGGTGGGGAGGGCGGGAGTTGGGCGCGGGAGGGGACAAGAGCTGGGGACAGGATCTGGGGGCGAGGGGACAAGAGCTGGGGGGCAGAAGCTGGGGGGCAGGAGTTGGGGGCGGGAGGGGTACAAGAGCTGGGGGGCAGAAGCTGGGAGACACGAACGCTGACTTGAACTCGAGCCTTAAGTCCCTTCCATCTGCACGTCAGCTTGGAAAGGGCTGTACAGGCTGTGGCCAAAACTTTCAAACCTGGCTGCTTAAAGTTACCAGCTAAATAAGCTGCCCCTTTGGGGGGAGGGTTCCCCTAGAGTCGCTGAGCCCCTCACAGATGCCAGTGTGTGTGAAGACCCTTTCAAATTTGGGTGCCTTAAAGTTCGGCACCTAAATAAGTGGTCATTCCCTGTAACATCCCCGGCAGTTAAGTGAGTCCTCAGCGCCTCTGAGAAGCAGGTTACTATTTAAGTGCTTAAAGTTAAGCTACCCCAGTTTGAAAATGTTAAGTGTTTCTACATAGAGTGCCACCAAAATTCAGCCATGAGGACTGCTACTAGCCCCCATCTCACTGCACAGTAGCAGGGGTGGAAAAGGAGATTTTGATTCGTGTCAATGTGGAGCAGATTTAAAACATAGTTAATTCTACCACAACAAACAGGAATCTCTGAATTTTTATTTGACTGATGTTTTCCTACAAATATCAGTTTTGTATATAATGTTAACCCAAAGGCGATTTTTTTTTTAAGGCAAAGTTATTTTAGTAGGGGAGTTTTATTACCAGTCTTCTCACCAAGTCACCTTGGGCGAGTCAGTTAACTTATTTGTACCGCAGATGAAGCTGCTACTTATCTACCTCCGAAATGTGTTCTATTGCATGATTAATCCTTGGATAAATGGTGATGTAGAAGAACACGGTGGTAAAGTGCATGTGACTTCTTCATGCCCATGAAAGTGAGAAAATGACAGCAGCTGCTTGAGATGTGGTAGCTGTTGGGCTGTAACACCCACTATTGGTACTTCAGGTTCTAGTGGACAGCTGCTCTGGGCTCTTCCTAGCTGCCATTATAAGGGTTGATCTCCACTATACTTTGCTTCCACAGATTTTTTTCTACATTCTTTCTGTTTGAGTCGTTCTAGTTCCTGCTTCTCCTGTTGTTGGTAACTTCCCAACCAACAGCAGAGGATTCTGAATACCAGTGGAGAAAGTGAATCAAGTCTTGTTAATTTCACTGCTGCTTAGCAAGGCTGTGAGTAGCAATAGAGACTCTGCAGCAGTCTGCTTGCAGACTTGGGCAGACAACACTGCACCCATTCACAGTCTGATAACAGATAGTTATCTTAGCAACTATAGATTTTCTTTAGATTAGATTTTATATTTAATGAAAGCTTAAATTCTTCAGTAATTGATGACTTAGGCCCAACATTTGTTAGTCAAGTCAAAGCTTCCTGTCGACCACTGGAAGTAGGTTTCTTCAAGTCCAAATTATGATTCTATTCTAGAACCTGAAAGAAGACAAGTGTGGCTTAAATAATTTGCGATCTCAGACAATAATCTTTCTAAACTTCTTATGAAATTTACTAGCCTTGGATTGCAGTACTTGAGTGCATTCCTCATTTTATTTCTTCCACGTTGTCTTTTACATTTCAGTTTGAACCTGGAAAATAGTAATATTTTTTCTTCAAGCTTTGCCAGCTGATATGCCATTTTCCCCTTTAGTTCTTCCTGTTTCTCTATATGTAAATACCATCTAGTTATTTCTCTACTAAGAGCCAAATAGAGATTTTAGCAATGTGGCCAATTGAAAAGTCAATTACAACTAAAAACATTGTGAAGTTTTATTATGTTGTCTTACTGTGACATCAGAATGCATTGGGGTGAAAATTTTATAACCCACATTTGTATAAAAAGATGAAATACAGATTTCCTCAGTTTAAATGCTGTTTTCACACTGGTATTCAGGGTGGAAACTACATAAAAGATTCTTTTGAGTGTATGTTCTTGTATTTCCACTAACAATGAGAGAGGTGTATTCACACTAAAAATATAACTTCCTTATTAAAGTCTTCATGCTGTCATTACTTAGAATAGGATTATGGTATAGTGCAGTGGTTCTCAACCCACGGCCTAATTAGCACACAGCTGCGGCCCACCTCAGCTGTATGCTAAAGGCCAGCCCGCGGAGTTCCCAACTGCCCAGCATGGTTGCATCTGGGCAGCCGCCTGGCCCCGCAAGCTCCAGGGTTGGGGTCAGGCAGCTGCCCAGCCCTGCATATGCAGCCCACAATGATAAATAAGTTGAGAACCACTGATATAGTGGGATTTGAGGTTTGTGATTCAATCAGTGACCTCCTGTGTGACCTCTTTATACTTAGTTCCCTGCAATACTAATCACCTACCATACCACGTTTTTGTAAAACTTAATGTCTTTCTATAAAGTGAGTTAGAAAATAGTAAGGTTGAAAGTGTGTGTCAATGGAGTCTATATAACACCCAAAAATGCATTGTGATTTCCTCAGAATAATGTTCCATTAAGCAATACAGCCACTTCATCATTCCATATACTACTTCATTTATTACCACCTCATGCAAATACCTTTCCTCACTCATCTTCAATTTATTTCATTTATAATTTGCTTAAATACATGCAAAGTTTAAAAAAAAAATCTTAGTGTACCAGGAGACTAAAATCTCAAGTCCTTACCAAGGGCTAGATGGTGAAACCCATACTCTCTCTGATGAGCAGTTACTCACATGAATATTTTCACTGAAGTAAATAGGAGTATTTTTGTAAGTAAATGCTCACCAGTGTTAGCAAGAGACTCTCAATCTGGCCTAAAGGGATTTTCCAATATGTTGTAACAAACTATAGTTATAACTTTTTTTTAGATTGGTAAATATTATGTGTAAAGTACCAATTACCAGTATGTATATACTTACATAAACATTCAACACCATCTACAGTGCACAATTAAGAAAACAAAATGAACTCTGTCCCTGGAGATTTTGGATCAACTTGAGGGTAGGGGTCTCAGGTAAATGAGCTCTTGTACACTGTAGCTTCATGTGCTTGGTTTTTCCTTCCTCTTCCCTACTTGTGCAGACTGTGACATTTACTACTGTCCTGGTGCTGTAGTAACTTTGTCCAGCCATGGCAGGAAGAGAGTTGGAACTAATGGAGGTGATGCTACCGCCCTCTATATCATAAAGTAGTGTGGGGGTTCTCATTTCCACGGTTTAGATTGTGTTGAGCTTTCTCTCCTCTCCCCCATAGGCATCTTTTTGAATGTACATGGGAGGGAGGGAGATACCTGTGGCCCAGTGGGGCTCCTTTTTAATTTCCCAAATGAACTTTGTTTCAGAGCTTTTAGCCAAGGACAGTGGTTTGGACTTTAAGACCCCCAGTCTTACATGATCCTGACTGAATTATAGTTGATTAGTGATTTACCTGCCCCTCGTTAGGGCATCAGAGGGGATACTCTCAGGTGGGATAGAATCTAATGCTTTCACTGGAAAATGCAAGGCTTAGATGATCACAGAAGGCATTACGCAGCCTCTTCTGATGTAGAAGTACTTACCTGAGAATCTGCCTCTAAAGCTGCATAGCTCAAGGGGCTTATAGAGGTTCCACAGGCCAACAGAGGCAAATTTGGGCCAACTAGAACTCTTGCTTTACACACTATCTGACAGATTTTAAATAATATGGGGCTGACTATTCCACAACTTTTTCTCCAAGAAATTTCCCAAATCCCTATAATTTAGGATTTCCATGCAGTTTTTCATTTGCCCTCATCATAAAGCTACCTCAAGTCCAGATTCTGCTGTACTTTGGCTTCTAGCTCCCTTTGAAGTCCATCATAAAAACTTCCATCATAACATAGAATCAGAAATGTAGGGCTGGAAGGGATGCCTTAGTATAACATGCAAATACATTGGCCCCCAGAGCACCCTAACCGAGAGAATGTATTAATGTATATAATGTTTTTCTGCTGCCACTGGGGTTGAAGATATAATGGAGTCTGCATTCCTTAAGCAACATGGGTCACTATATTAAAACAAAAACAAAAAACCCCACACACGTTGTAAAGAATTCCATCAAACTGTTACACCTTTGACTGTCCCTTGGCAAAAATTTGTTGTTGTTTTTTTAATATAGAGACTGTAAATCTTACATGTTTGGCTTTTTTTAATATAGTATTTTTCTATTATCTTTTTTAAAATACAGATAATTTTAAACCAGTGTTATCTCATACAATAATATTACATGAATAATATTTCAAGATGCATTTTTAATTCATTTTTTGGATGCTTTTGCATTTGAAACTCAAACAGTAGCACACTCTAAACAAGGGTATATTTTAAATGAGGTCATCTTACTTGCTAATGAGTCAAAACAATCTTCTACAAGGTGAAATCTGTGCAGTTACATTTTGAAGTAAAGTGCATTTTCCAAAGCTTGTTTAATCTGAAATGAATGAGTAAAGTTCTTATAGAATGACTTTATAAAGATTTTTATAATTTTCTAGTTACTTTATATAATGCTTTAAGCTATTGTTTAAGATTTAAGAAAGCACTTAAGTTGCAGTTGTCTCTGGGTAAAATAGTCTTAATTTATGTTGACCTTTCTTTCCTTTGAGTATTTAGCCTGCATTCAATAAAATTTTGATGACTGCTCTTTAGAAGACAGCTGTACGATATAAGAATTATAAATATTCAGCTTTCCTTTTCTAGTGTTGTCATTAACAGCTGGGCATCCAGTTCAGCAGAGCAAATTTTGCAGAGAGAGTTTGGCATGTTCCTGAATCAGTATAGTGAAGAAGACTAGAAAATAGTTTCTTATGGTTTGGGGACTTGTAAAGACATAGAGCATCTGTTCCCCAGTTAAGTCATAGTCTGGCAGCATTGAATCATGTTAAGAGCTAAAATGATGGGAAGAACTACCTTTTTCACCTTGCTGTATCCATGTTTAAATACTTAATACATTATTTCTACTAATGGCAAAATAATTATAACATCTACCCAGAAGGTATGTAAGTTGGAGAGTGCACTTGTGTATAGTTATTTTAATTATTGGCATTTTGTTTGAAAGAGACTACCTGTTTTTTAATATATAATCTTGGTTTGAACTGATAAATAGTGAAGTGGGTGTTTTTTAGTACAAACACTTGTGTTCCAGCTTCCAAAAAAACAACCTTTTTGTCCCATGTTCTTTGAATTAGTTAATAAATTTGCTGTATCTGAAATTACTTTCCCTAAAGTAGCATTTAATGAATAAAAGATTTAATGCATTTATAATTAGGAAAATATAATTCTTTTAAGACCACATATAATGGATCTTATTACTAGACATTTTGTATTTGAAGGAGTGTAAAACTTGTCTGTCTTTCTCTTGCAGAGTTAAGAGAGCACTGAAGTTGGAGACCCTTGCAAAAGAAAACGTAAGTACTGTATTCAGTTTTGTGATTGAAATTATATGGAATTTACATAAATACACAGCATTTCATTAGGGTTATGTTATAGCAGATTGGCTGACAGTCTACAAAAGTCTCACTAAGGAGAAGTGATTACTAAAAATCTTTGGCATGAAATTATTGTTTTTTGTATACATTTCCTGTCAATAAGTGAAGTATTTATCTGCATGAAGAAATTGGCTATAACTGGAGAAATAGGCATATTTTTGGTTACCTTCACTACTTGTCCAAGAGCTGAATGAATTAGGAACCTTGTTGAAAGCATTTATTAGAAATTAGCTCCATAATTGTGGAAGCAAATGTTCTGCCATCTAATTGTACATGTAACAATATGGAATTATGATAATGCTATAATCTTCATATTATAAGCTGCAAAATTGAAATGAAAACATTAAGAGCATTTTTATGTCAAGGATATAATTACATCCCTCAGCTAATCTGGCATAATGAAACAATAAAATACTAACGCTGCAATAAATTTCACCACAGTTATCACAATAAAAATAAAATTGTACTGTTGCTATTATTTTTTGTAAATGCAGCCATTGTATATTCCCAGTGCCAGCATGTCATGACATATGTCGGTTTATTATCTACCCGTACCAACAGTGGGTGTTGCTGCAAACACTAACACGGAGGAGTTCATGAGGATGGTAGCCTTAAAGGGAAGGAAAATTAGTGGAAAAGTATATTAGAAAAAATAGCTGGTCAGTAAATGAGCCTCCGGTAAATCTCCACATGGCTATGTCATTTTAGAGAGATTTGTTTATATGTGATACCTATTTAGAAGTCTCACTGGTATTTAGCAAAATAGAAACTTGCAATTTTAAAAATTTGCTGGATACTTTTTTATTTAAATAAAGGTGGCAAAATACCGCAGTGGCACTAAAAAAAATCATTAGCAATTTAATTAGCAGTTTAGTGTACCATTACCCAACTTGTTCTGCGCAGAATGCAGCTGTGACTGTAATTTTGCATCTGTTTCTTGGGTCGGAGTAGCATTTTTGTGGTTGAGTGGTCCAGCCTGAAATTAAACACAGTTTTTTTTCTACCCTAAAGCTGTTATTTTTCTGAGATGGGAACAAAAGTGTTTTAACAGAGAAGAATTGCATTTCAGACTAGACTCTCCTTTTGCAGCAAAATGACTATAATAAAAGCCCTTGTTTACATCAGCTTTTCAGAATATGATGGGTTAAAATATTCACTTGAAGTCGTTTCTATATTGGGGGGCTATCAAGTGGAATGTGACTATAAAATAAAGTTTTTATTTATATGGCACCTTTCCTCTTGCACCGATTGCATCCCCATCCCGTACTGCTGCTTCTCCTTTGTCTCCTGGGGCCATCTCCATGGCCACAAAATGCCAAACATCTCCCAATATGCCCTCACCTGATGTGACCTCTGCTTCTGTATATAAAAAGTCAGGAATGAGTGGTTAAAACTGTGTAATATTGATATGACATCATAAGGATTTGCCCAGCTGAAGAGAAACTCTGATTGCCACAGAGGTATTACGCTGATTGCCACAGAGGTTGTGTGCTACAGTAACTCTCTTCCCAGGTAGATGCTCAAAGGAGGCTTCCTTCATGTCCAGAAATATGGTGGCTGCAACATCAGGCATTCAAGGTTAAACAGAGAGGGCCCCTTGAGGCTTCAGTGGGATGCACAGGATCTCCATATTGCAAAACAGAGTGGATGTAGGTTAGATGCCTAATGTACCATTGATAGTGTTTTGTAACTAACATTTCTCTGAAAAACTGTCTTTACTGGCAGTAATGGGCTCAGTTCATCTTAATGTGGCAAAAGGTTAGCAGTAGGGGAGCCCAAGGTTTCCTACTAGGACGGGGGGGGAGGTTAAAATATTAATATCCTGGAAATAAAGGATGCAAATATGATATAAAATTATTAAATCTGCAGATGATACAAAATTATTTAGGCTACTCAAAACAATGGAGAAGATTGAGTAATTCAGAGGTATATAGGAAAGCTAGATGAATGAGCACCAAATCAAAATTCAGTGTTAATATATACAAGATAATGCAAACTGGAAGAATGAATTAGATCAACTCATAAAAATTGCTGTATTATAAACTAACAATAACTGCTCAGAAAAAAACCCTGTGTATCACTGTGGGTAGTTCAGTGAAAACTTCAGCTCAGTCTGCAAAGGCGGCAAAAAAAAAAAAGGCAAACAAAATGTTAGAATGCATAAGGACTGAGATAGAAACCACTACGTAAAATATGAGGCTATTCTATAAAACAATGTTCCATCATCTGAAATTATGTCCATTTCTAGTCACCCTGTTAAAAAAGGAATTGCAGAAAGAGAAGGGGTCCATATCCAGATAGTGAAAATGATGAGTGGCATGGAAAGGCTTTCGTATAAAGATAGATTAAAAGATTGGGACTGTTTAATTTAAGAAGATGAAGAAGAGGGGGCAGGATAGAATGTTATTGGGAAGGTAAATTGAGCATTCTTATTTATCCTTTCCTATAAAACAAGAACAAGAGGACAGTCAATGAAATTGAAAAGCGGCATATTTAAAACTGAAAAGGATTTTTTTTTCATACCCCGCACATAATTAACCTGTGGAACTCATAACCTCACCAACAGCTGCGGGCAAAGAACTTAGAAATAAATAAATAAATAGACATTAATATGAATAATGAGAATATTCATAAAAAGCTACACAGAGGAAAATATAGGGACATAAACCTGTATGTGTCTGTCATAAACCAACCACTGATTGCCTGGAGTTAGGAAGAAACTTTTCCTATGGGCAGGTTGCTACATCATTGACCATTAGACATTTTGATACACACCCATCCTCCTTTTTTTCATGGTTATTGTCTCTGTAGACTTGTGACAACAAGGATGCTCCCCATAAGAAAGTATCCTTGTCTGAAAAACATTTAGAATCATGTAAATAAATAAATATTAACTAGTTGATAGTACACGTTATTCTACCTACTGCTGAAATGTAGCCGCTTCTCTAAAAATATGGGGGAGGCAGGGAACAGCAAAAGTATCTTAAAGCCACCTTTGTGCCCTCCTGATCTTGGGCTACTTGAGGGCTGAAGAGACCCCATACATAACTTAGACTTAGTACTTTCTCCTTAGACTTTTGTGTGGCAGCCCTGCACCCAAAACAACCGTCCTGCTCCCAGCCTTGCCCCGGTACAGCTCCTATGCCAGTGCATGCAAGACGTTCCTGCACTGTGGAATTCTCCCTTGGCTGGGTCATGGGCTTTCAGGGTATGTCTACACTGCAGCTGGGAGCGAGACTCACAGCCCTGGTACAGATAATCAAGTTGAAATCAGCTAGAACACTACATAAAGTATCATAGGATCTTTAATGAGCACAAATGGGGAGAACTGTGATTTTACATTTTATCTATGGTGTCAAAACTGTGTAATATTCATATAGCCCTGTAATTATTTTTTCTATCATTAATGTATGGTGCTTAACTGAAGAGATTATAAACACGATTAGTAAAGTTGCTGTAAACTAATGTGTGAAATTGAAGAAATGTTCTGAGTAATACACAGAAAAAACACAGATTATAGATATTGAGTTTTGTGGCGTACAGTACATTGTAGTGACAGGAGAGAAGCCTGCTTCCTATTTGTGAGCTGTTTTTACGTTTGTGAAAGTGTGGATTAACAAAGTTAACTTTCTAAACGAAATGTAACAATTAAAACAACAAAAATGACAAAAAGTACCTTTAGTTTTTATTCTGCTTTTCTGCGAAGGTTTCTTTCTGAAAGCTCTTGTTTCCAAGGAGAGGAAAAAGTTGTAAAATACCTACATGTGGTATTTTTAATGGCTTAAAAATTGAATATGAGAAACTTTTTCAGTAAAATATCTATGGGGGAAAACATGGCCTTAGCCAAAATGTCCCTTTCTCTTCACTATTCCAGCACCTGTTGTACACAAGTCCATTTCCATCTTTTATGCCAGCAATGTGTATAGTAGAGATATCTTGCCTGGTGACTTGAGGTCCTTTGGTATGAAAGCTGCTAGATAGAAGGGAAATATTATGCAAATCTTGAAGCTGGGCCTTCCAGTTGGTTCAGTGTTTCATTCTTATGGCCCCTTGTTCAATTACTGGGTCAGCTGGTTACTTATTTTACTTTGAAGTTGTCAATATATGATTGTGTGTTGACTGTTACACATGTTGCTTAATACTTAAAATTCAGTCAGAGATAAAAACTGGTGGTCGCTGTACCATTTGAAAGTGTGTAGGGGCTTTATATCCCCCCTAAGGATACAAGGGTGAAATCCTGGCTTCAGTGAAGTGGGAGGCTTTCTTTTTAGTGCTGTTGGAGTTTGATGGTGTCTTTGTGTGTTTCCTTTTTGACCTAGTCCTTACTGATATTACTTGAAGCTGCTAATTCTTCCTTAGTAAGATGTAAATCATCATCCGAACTTAGGTCCTTGATGTACAGGCAGATTCCTAATTTCTTGTGTAGCGGTAATGCAGTGTAGCTCAATTTTTTCAGGGTTACGGTTTAACATCTGATCCAGGAAGCAAAATGTATACAGTAGAACCTCCATTCCCAAGCTGTTTGTAACTCTGAGATTCTACTGTACCAAGGACTTCCAGTCAATGTGTTTTCTTCTAACACTTGCAAAAATATTGACCACTAGTTTGGTACACAACTCCCTTTAGGTTAGTAATCACATGACTTTAAACTAGAGACTTAATTTTGGTTTTAATTGACCTCTGCTGTCTTAACACTGATTTTTCTTGTGTTTTTAGAAAATTAAACACTTGATAAAAACGGTTAAAAATAAGCTAAATCTTTAGTGGAACAAAAAGTCTAAAAATTCTGACCATGATTTTTAACCATAACGAATCCTGGTGAGAAAGGAAAGTACATGCCATAGTAACATCAAATTAACTTATTTTTCCCAATAGAATTAACTTTTAGACTACCTGCTCAAAAGAGCACTTGGCACTCAGTTTAGGCAACTATATCTCTAGGTACCTTGCAAGTTGGACTTGTGTATGAAAGCTGAGAGGTTGACATCTAACAGCTTAATTTGCATGTTTAAGTGCTGTCTCCGTGTACATTTGGGGATGTTCGTAAACGGGGACACTGAAAATTGGGAATCTTTGAAAATACGGTTACAACTTGGTCTATACTGCTTGATTAAACATTAGCAAATTGGGCCATTTTAAGACACTGTATGCTGACTGGTTCTGGGAGCAATGTGTAGTCCGCCTTAACAGGAAGTGTGGAGGCTGTAATTGTGAAGTACTGAGAATGGAAATTGAAGGGAGGGATTGGAATTGTCAGGGTTACATAAGGGGTATGGAAGGACCTCCCTATGAACCAACATTTATTTATTCTTTTTTTTTAACTTTGTTTAGCCACATGAAGCAACACCTTTGAAGACCAGAAAGAAAAATTTAAGCTCATATTCACCAACAACAGGAACATGCCAAATCAGTGCATTTTCATCTCCCACAAGTCATAATGTACAAAAGCTCGGAAATGGTCTATCAAATGGTTAGTTGAACATTCTCTTTTACTTATTGCAAAAAATTTCTTGTTATTGGTTAAATCAGGGTCTTGATTTAGTAATTTATGTCTCATCTGGTATGTCTGATTTCTTTTTTCTCTTAAGGAGTTTTGAATTTTATGGTGAAATCCAACATTTTTAGTGCTCTTATCATATAAATGTAAGCTTTTGAGGTAATTATGATGACCGTCCTGTAGAAGGCTTTTCTTTTCTTTGTTCAATATAGAACCACTAGCATGTGTGAGGGGAACTCCATTCCTTCCTGGAATTAAACCAACTTTTGCCAACAATGAAATTTTGCCCATCCTCTCTCTCCAACTCCCAGTTTTCATTTAAAGTGACAGTGTGTACTACTTTTCTGAATTAAAGGGAACATATATTTTGGAGTTGCTGCATATTACCTGAGAATGTTATAAAAGAAATCATGTTTTAATAATTTGGAAGGCAGTGTAATCTAGTGGTTAGAATAGAGGAGCTATATTCCCAGTTCTACCACTGAGCGTGAGCAAGTCATTTAACCTTTTCTATATGTCAGTTTAACTGTCAGTAAAATGGGTGTAGTACGTGCTTCTCTTGTGGGGGTTTTGAGTCTTTATGAATATTTGAAAGGTGCTTTGGTATCCTCTGATCAAAGATGATATAGAAGTCAGGGTGGATTTGAAGTCAGGAAGACTCGATTTAATCATGGATTTCTACATAAAAGTGCATTCTTGTTAGTTGTTATAACCTTAATACATATTCTTCACAACTCAGAGATAGATGAGACCCAAACTGGGTCTCTTTTACGGCCTGCTGCCATTATAGGTTTTCCCTTCTAGTGAGAGAATGGTATGGTAGATCTCAAATCAATGAAGGCTACCCTCAGAAAGACCTCAAGACTTCTGGAATATGCTGCTCAAACAGTTTCACTTTTGTTTCTACTGCCTGTCCTTCCCTTCTCACATTTATCTCCAGACTTCTTCTCCTTGTCCAGATCTATTCCGCCCCCAACAATCTTCTATTCATTGAACTTTTTTGAAACTTTTCACTTTTAGATAGAGGTAAGGGATTGACTCTGTCTACACAAATTTGCAGAGAGACAATAGGGTTGAGGTCTGTTATTTCTCACCTCTATATATTATTTATTTATTTAAAAACATTTTTGCTGTTAACAAACATGTTATCTCTGGAGACACAAATCCACAGTTTGAGAACTGCAAAACTAAGCATTTCTGATGGTATCTTCTAGACTGAGCACTGAATCCCATTGGGTAGATAGAAAGATTAATCTAAATAATCTATACAGAAGCCCCTGGAACCCCATAAGATTGGGTCCCTAATCCATGAACTATTGGAACTCATTTACAAAACTTTTCTTAAACATTACATGAATATATTGTCTCATACTCTAGAATTAGAATTTGTAATCCCTATTCCATGATGAGATATCTTTGAGCTATAATGTATCTTAATTAATACTATTTTTAGATAGGTTTTTTCCTCAAAAAACATTTTATCAAAAAATCCGATTTAAATCAAAACAAATCTGATTTTTTTTGTTTAAAAAAAATCATTGATTTTTATCCACCCTGATAGTTAATTAACTCTACTCCTGTGCTTTCTTTCATGTATCTGCTGGCTAGGTAAGTGGTGTAGAGTTTTGGTTTTGTGGAATATTGGTCCACCTTTTGTGGAGAGTACGGGCTGTATAGTTTGGATGGCCTCCACCTTAGGGGACTGGCAGACTAGAGTATTCAGAAGAGTGTTAAACTAATAACAAAAGGGAAGGGTAAAAAAGAGAGAAGATGTGAGCACTCAGCAAAAAATTGAGATGCTCAGAACGAAATCAAGAAGCCTTAGGACATGAAGAGAAGAAATTCTTGAATTGCCTATGCTAAGAGCAATGCTAGGAGCCTGGGTAACAACAAGAGGACCTGGAATTGCTCATTTACTATCATAAATTTGATCTAGTTGGTATTTCTGAAACCTGGTGGGATTATTTGCATGAATGGAAAGTTAAAATCAATTATTATCACCCATTTAGGAAGGATCAAGTAGGGAAAAGGGGAAGGGGAGTGGCACTGTATGTCCGAAATGACATTACCTGATTCTGAGTCACTGATAACTCGCAAGAAAATGATCTTGACTGCTTATGGATCAATTCCCTAACAGATCATGTACAAGATGGGGTATTAGTTGATGTCTGCTGCCAACTATCCGATCACACTAGGGAATAGGATGATCACTTCCTTATGCACTTATCTATAGTGTATAGGGGAAAAAACTGTGTGATCATAGGGGACTTGAATTTGAGTGACATATTTTGGAAGTCTCATGCTGCAATTACTAAAACATCCTTGGAATTTCTAAACATTATAGATGTTTCTTAACTCTAAAAGTGTTGCGGCCAACATGGGGGAATTCTTTATTAGATCTTGTTAGTTTGACGGAAACTGATCGCAGAACTAAAACTTAATGATAGCTTAGGTACGAGTGATCATGACTTGATAACATTTAAGATGTGCATGCAGAATACAATCCAGACTGGTAATTTCTATACTTGGTGCTTTAATAGGACCAATTTCACAAAGCTGAAAACAATTATGAGCCTGGTCAGCTAGGAGAGAGGATTTAATCAGAAAAAATTTGTATGATACTTGGGAATCATTTCAGAACACCCTATTCGATGCCTAAAAAGCCACAATCCCACAATGGAGGAAGAAGGCTGTGCTGGTTTAAAAAAACAACCTGGTTTAGAGCGGAAGTGAAGACAGTTGTAAAATATAAAACAACAAATTGAAGAAAGGGAAAGTTGATAGTAATGAATATAAATCAGAAGTTAGTAATTGTAGAAAATTGCTAAGGAAAGGAAAGGGATACAAGGAAAAACTTATGGCGAGCAGAGTTAAGGACAATAAGGAGTTTTTAAAATACACCTCTACCCCGATATAACGCTGTCCTTGGGAGCCAAAAAATTTTACTGTGTTATAGGTGAAACCGCGTTATATAGAACTTTCTTTGATCCGCCGGAGCACACAGCCCTGCCCTTCCCCCCCGAGCGCTGCATTACCGCGTTATATCCGAATTCGTGTTATATCGGTTCGTGTTATATCGGGGTAGAGGTGTATATTAGAAACAAACAGAATGGCATTGGTCCATTATTAGATGCAAATGGTAGAATTAACAATAATAATGCAGAAAAGGCAGAAGTTTTCAATCAATATTTCTGTTCTGTATTTGTAGTCTCATCATATGGTGATATAATACTCTTACCATTCCACTAGTATCTCTGGAGGATGTTAAACAGAAGATACTAAAGTTAGACATTTTTAAATCAGCAGGTCCCGATAACATGCATCCAAGAGTTTTAAAAGAGCTGGCTGAGGAGCTCACTGGACCATTAATGTTGATTTTCAACAAGTCTTCGAGCACTGAGGAAGTTCCAAAAGACTGGAAAAAAGCTAATGTTGTGCCAGTTTTTAAAAAGGATAAACAGAATGACCCGCATAATTATAGGCCTGTCAGCCTGACGTTGATTTGAGGAAGATAATGGAGCAGCTGATATGAGACTTGATTAAGAAAAAATTAAAGGAGATTAATGTAATTTATGCAAATCAACATGGGTTTATGGAAAAATAGTTCCTGTCAAACTAACTAGATATCTTCTTTTGATGAGATTACAAGTTTGGTCGATAAAGGTAATACTGTTGATATAATATACTTAGACCTCTGTAAGGCGTTTGACTTGATACCATGCGACATTTTGATTCAAAAACTAGAATGATATAAAATTAATATGGCACACACTAAATGGATTAAAAACTGGCAAACTGATAGGTCTCAAAATGTAATTGTAAATGGGGGGTCATCAAGTGGATGTGTTTCCAGTGTGGTCCTGCAGGGATCGGTTCTTGGCCCTATGCTATTTATCGTCGTTAAAAGAAAATCATCACGGATAAAGTTTGCAGATGACACAAAATTGTGAGAGTGGTAAATAATGAAGAGGACAGGTCACTTATTCAGAGCGATCTGGATCACCCGGTAAACTGGACAAAAGCAAACTATATGCGTTTTAACACTGCTAAAAGTAAATGTATACATCTAAGAGCAAAGAATGTAGACCATCCTTACAAGATGGGAGACGCTATTCTGGGGAGCAGTGACTCAAAAAAGATTTGGCCGTTGTGGTGGATAATCAGCTGAACATGAGTTCCCAGCGTGATGCTGTGGCCAAAAAAGCTAATGTGATCCTGGGATGAATAAACAGGAATCTCGAGGAGAAGAAGAGAGATTATTTTACCTCAGTATCTGATACTGGTTTGGCATGATTTGTTCTTGGTAAATCCATGCTGGTTGCTAGTGATTACCCCTTCATCCTCCAGGTATTCACAAACTGAATCTTTTATACACTAGTCTAGTAGCTTCCCAGGTATCGAAGTCAGGCTGACTGGTCTATAGTTCCCCAGCTCCTCCTTTTTCCCCTTTTTTAAAAGATGGAGACTACATTAGCCCTTCAGTCTTCCGGGACCTCTCCTCTCATCCCTGAGTTTGCAAATATTATTGTCAGTAGCTCAGAAATTTCTTCAGCTAATTCCTTCAGTACCCTTAGGTGAATAACATCTGACTTTGCTGATTTGAATTCATTCAGATTGATCAGAAGATCTGACGAATTCTCTACTTATCCTGATCTCCATCTCTTCCTCTTTATTGTCTATGGTAACTTCGCTAGTCGTCCGATCACGTTCTTTTTGGCAGAAGACTGAAGCAAAGTGGGCATTAAGCAGCTCTGCCTTCCTATCATCTTCTGTTACCAGCTCACCTTCTCTGTTGAGCAGTGGACCCACACCATCCTTGATCTTTCTTTTTTGTCTGACATATTTGAAGAACCCCTTCTTGTTGTTTTGACAGTGAGGGCAATTAGCCATTACAAGGGTCCTGATAGATTCATAGAATCTACCAGGGTTAGCAGAGACTACAAGGGTCATCTAGTCTAACCCTCCCTGGGTTC